CCTGTCGGAGCTTCCCGCTTGCCGCTGCCAACAGCACTGCTGCCGCCTGCAGGAGCTCGCCATGCCCCACCCCAGCCTCCAGGGGCACACAGTGTTCATGTGTACTGAAATCAACAGAGCCCTGAAACATAATGTACATGACAGTAACATAACTGGGGCAGGACAAGGGGACAGTAGTCGTAGGTGCCAACTGCAATGGGGTGCAAGATTCTCCCCCTGCTGGGAGTCTTTCCTGCAACAGGGTAAGCTCTGCATTGCCCCTGCCTGGCCATAGGAGCAGGAGAGGACAGTCCCACACCAAACGGTTTATCTGGAAGATGGGGGGCACGTAGGGTAAGCCAAATGGTGCTCTCTTCACCAAGAGCCTTTGCTAGAGCAAGCATAGCCCTGCTCCCAATATGTATGGGGGGGTGGAGAGAGTGAAAAGGGCACCAGGATGTACTCTGAAGGAAGCTCAGCCATGGGAGCTGACACTGAGTAGCAGTAACAGCAGCCCAGGAAGGTAAGACTTCCCTTCCCCTCACCTATGCTACTGTGCCCCATACCCTTCCCAGGCACTTGAGTGGCCTGCACCATTGGTACGTGGCACTTAAAAGCACAACACGATAACACGATAAACTGCAGAAGAAAACTGCTGATAGAATGTGGAGTATTTTAAAATTTAAAAATTACAAAAAGTTATCACTAAACATAGGCAATTTAATTCTCTTATATCCCTTTTATACTTTGTACTTAGAACAGCATTGTGATTACTTTAAATATCATGTATAGAATACCTATCATTCATTACATTGCTAAAGTGCTATTGTAAACCAGCAGGATTAAACACGTTTTATATTACAGGCGATTTTACATGCCTGACTCTTGTGAATTATAGCACCGTCTACAGAAGATTGTTTGCTAGAAAAGAGGAACTCTACATTTTGTAAACACAGATATTACATGGGCTGATTATAAGTAAGAGGCAATGAATCTAGAATCTAAAATGCACTGATCTTTTTTCTGTGGCATGAAAAATACACAAGAAGAAAATACTATTTTAGGGCCCTATTTTATATTTGTTCTTTGCAAAAAAACCTTCCCCCGTATGACAATGTAGGTTCTGACAAGTGCCAACTGTGGATCGTTTTGTAAGTGAAGTTTTCAAGAGGAACTAAAGCTACTTAGTCTGCAGAAGAGAAGACTGAGGGGGGATTTGATAATGGATGAAGAAGAGAGAGGATGAAGAAGGAGTTTTCTCTGTGGTTGTCAAGGGGACAAGAGTACAAGCAACAGCCTCCATCTGCAGCAGGGGGATTGGAGATTAGGAAGAATTTTCTGATTATGAGGGTGGTCAAGCATTATAAGAGACTACCTAGAGAAACTGTGGAATCTCCATCTTTGGAAGTTCTCAGAAGCAGGTTAGACAAACATTTGGCTGGGATGGTTTAGTCAGGGATGATGTTGCCTTGATCAGGGGGCTGGACTAGATGAATTTGTGAGGTTCCTTCCATCCCTACTTTATTACAATCCTATGATCCTATGCTTTAGCACACATTTTTACCAGCAT